GGTAAGTGTATCGCACCCGGCCGTAAGTTACTGCTGGCTACTCAAACGTCCAAATGCCGTTAACTTCCGGTGACTCAGCGTTCTTTTTTCATAACAGATTTAATGTTTAGTATAGAGCTTAGAAAAAATTTGCGTGAGATAGGCAAGAAGTAAGGCATGTAGCAACATCAGCACGGCAAAGGGCACTCCTTTAAAGGCAAGGAAGGGCAAAAATATTCTAAGTCAAGTGATAGCGATTGCTGTATGAGTCGTACGATTTTTGAATCAAGCACGGGCAACGCCGGCCCATGCTGCTAGTATATATATATATGTATATAATTGTGTATTTAGGCAGCAACCCCTTTTTCATACAAGTCTTATTAAAGACGCACTGACAAGGTTCTGCGATTAAGCTTTTTATTTAATTTATCTTGTGTTCATATCAGTGTTTCCTTTTCTGGGCATAAAGTGTGTAGTAAAAGGTTTCCAAATGTTCTGTATCTCCGAGCGCTTGTGGCTATTCAATTAGCCATTATCAAGGATTGTTCTTATTTTTTTATTTTTAGTTGAATGTGTAGATTTTTATACATTTTTCTAGGGTGAAGTGAATTTTATTTATTATTCCAAACACGGTCAGTACATGTTGGCTTTTTATTTTTTTTATTAATAATGCTCCAATCATTTTCGACTTTTTTTGCATGTGGATAAGTCTATCGTTCTTGCATTTTCTACAAGTATGTTGCGTAAAGGTAGGTTTCCATGTGTGTTTAAATGAGCCCTAATTGAACTGTGGACAGAGATGTAAGGCGAGTCCTCTTGATAGACATGTAGTGGTATGTCCAATATAATTATTCATGAATTTGGTTTGATCAGGAACGCAGTTCCTTAAGGTGGATTCATATGCAATGTGGTTTCTCACTAATTTAGATGTTGCAGGTGCAGAAAATATAACTATAATAGCCTCATCCACATGTAAAAGAAAATGATTACAAATAACGGAAGCATTAATAATAAAAAAGAAAAATCCAACACTCAATAACAGCAACTATAAACATGGCCAAAATGTTCTGACCGTGTTTGAAAAATAAAAAAAAAACAAAAGATTCCTATCACTTCATAAACATATATAAAATGTACACATTCAGTTATAGTAAAAAATAAAACACATCTTTGATAATGGTTAATAGATTAACCGAAAGCGCTCGTATATATAGGCCATCTGGACAGATATGACATACTTTATGACGAGAAAGAATCATTTATACGAACTGTTGTAACCTCAAAAAGGTTACTGAATGAGGAATAACTAAAACAGAGATTGGAAATGAAATGGTAATCTTTATAACATCAACAATATACAATACTCGCCAGCGGCAAGAAATAGGTAAACTACTGCAAGTAGTGGACAACATATTACCCCCACTCACAATAGTGTCCAATGGATGTATGAAGATTGGGACATACCCATTAGTGTTCATAGGTAGGGAGTCTAACACGAACATAAGAAAACTTAAATCAAAAGCTTAATCGCAGTACCTTGTCAGTCGTCTTTAATGAAACTGGTATATAATTTCATTTCCCTTATGGCTCTTAGCAAGTTTATTCGTTTCGGTATCCCTCCCAATTCCGCTTCTGCCATCTATTTACGCAAGCGCCTTCAGTGAAATAGATAGTGGCTCGGGATGAGAAATTAGAGAGCCGAGTTCGAATTTCAGCCGAGTTCATTGTATTTACTTAAGTACAAATAGCCTTGGGAAAGGTATGCATCCATTACGGTTCGCACCAGCTCCGCATCTGAAAAATACTATTGATTGTTTGTTTTGCTTTGCTTTACGGCATAGCAACCTCAATGGGTTATTTAATGCCTACAAGATTTTAATTGCTGGTAATATTTTTTTTTTCTTTAAAAATGTATTGTTGATAATATTTTTTCTTTTCAAAAATGTATTGGTGGCAATATTTTTTTTTTTTCAAAAATGTATTGCTGGTAATAATTTCTTTTCAAATATGTGTTGCAGGTAATAATTTTTCCTCAAAAATGTATTGCTTGTAATATTTTTTTTCAAAATGTATTCCTGGTAATATTTTGTCAAAAATGTATTGATGCTAATATTTTTTCTTCAAAAATCTTTGACTACATTATTTACATTATTCGGACTATTGTCCGCATCTTTGTCGCCATATTTATTACAACGTTTCGGTCGTTGTACGCTCCGGCCTTCTTCAGGTAGTTGGAATGTCGAACTGAACCCTTTATTTCGCTCACTGGAGTAGACTGTTCTAGTTCCACGTGCCATGTCTAATGGATGTCAGTTATCAGTTATCTCTTGTTAATTAGCCTCTGAAAGTTCTCCACTGCCTTAACTAGGTATTGAACTCCCAATCAAGGCACAGTGGATTTAGGCCTTAGTTAGATCCAGTGACAGAACCCAAAGAGTGCACCCAGCAATTAAGAGGTGTTTCTACGCTCCTCAAAATCTTCTGATCAGAAAACTTGCTGTCAGATATAGTTTATTGTCTTACCGAGGACGCAAAATATCATTGATATTTCTCAAAGAAAAAAATTGTTGATACAACATTCACTCGCAAAAAAAGAAGGTTTTTTTTTTACAATTTCAAGAAAAGAGAGTGTATAGTTGGAAGCAAAAGAATCCGCCCAGCAACATAGAACTTTAAAGGAAATAACGAAACATGCCTTCTGAAAGCTAAGCAAAGTATTAAGAAACAGAAGAATTTCGATAGAAACAAAGAATACGGAACTGTTACATAATATCTATATATGGGATTGGATGCTGGATATTCTCCTCACAGATTAAGAATAGACGAGGCAGCAGTAATGTAGTTCTACAGGAGGATGCTGAGAATACCATGAACTGAACATGTGAGTAATGACGATGTGTTAAACAAATCGAAAACAAAAATGTACATTTATACATAATGTTGTGAGGGAGAATATTTCCCTACAAGTTTGGACACAGCTGTCGGACGAAAGACATAAAAATATACCTACATCAAGTGGAGTAACAGGAGGAGCAGTTACAGCAGTAGTTTTTGCTGAAAACTGGTAGTCAATCATGGCTAAACATTCCCTTCTCGAGTTTCTATTCTACATTATGTTTCCCTGTACTAAAAGGTAATAAACTTGTTAAACCAACTTCGGTTTTCTACTGTTGTTTTTGATAACTCATTTCCAATACATAACATCTAAAAGAGAGAGTTTCTAGAGCATATAATAAGGAAAGAGAGCTTGGAAAATTTGGCACTCACAGGACATACTGAATGTAAGACGATCAAAGGAAAACAATTTTTGTGATACCAACGAATACTCTTTCGTAATGTTTATTGTAGTAGAGTCTTTGTAATCGCAGATACAACTATGGTACGCTGTTGAACAATGCTTGGGTCAGACACCTTCGAATATCACTCGCATTAATAGTACTTGGTCGATAATACTCGCTCGAAAAGCAACCCGTATAGAGATCCGAATAGAGGAAGAGTGTATTGAATAGAGCAGAGAATAATGGTCTGTATAGTAACACAAGGTAGTCTAGAATTAGAAGTCACGCAACCTCCTACTTACGCGTTTCCGCTATGGTCACGTGGGCTTCTTAATTCAATAATGGGATCGCCTATGTTTGCTCACTGGCGATCTGTGTTCAAACTCAAGTGTCACTTTATTCCTATATAACTGGATGGCAGGACAGGGTTTAGGAGAGATAGCAAAATTTGTGACCGACTATAATCGCCAGCGTTATGACGAGGAATTGCACATAGAATAAGACACAAAGTCGTGATTTCAATGTCTATATCTAATTTTTAGTGGATATCTGTGTTTGAAAAAATCGAAATAACGCTGCATGTAATAAAAATGCCGTATTAAAAATAAATTCGTTAATTATTTAGAGATTGTTATAACTAGTAACTTATATTTTCCGATTTGGTGCGTAATACTAATTTTGAAGTATATTATTGTCTGTCTATATTTCTGGGATGAGGTATTATGCACACTATTTACATTATTCGGACTATTGTCCTCATCTTTGTCGCTATATTTATTACAAAGTTTCGGCCGTTGCACGCTCCGGCATTCTTCAGGTAGTTGGAATGCCGAACTGAATCCATTATTTCGCTCATTGGGGTAGACTGTTCTAGTTCCACGTGCCATATCTAATGGATATCAGTTATCAGTTATCTCCTGTTAATTCCCCTCTCCAAGTTGAACTCATACACTTTGGGTCCTGTCACTGGATCTAACTAACGCCTTTATCCACTGTGCGATGTGTCCTTGAAGAGATTTGTGTATGAATTTCTCGGTATCTTCAGCAACTATTTTTTTACCAGTGCTCATATTGCAATTTTTGCTGTTATCATTGCATGTTTTTTACCAGAGCTCATATTGCAATTTTTGTTGTTATTATCGTTTTTCTCTGGCACTCTTTATTACTGGTTCCCATATTGTATTCATTTCTATGCTTGGTCGGCTCAGGAGATTTTTGTGGCACGTGGAACTAGAACAGTCTACCCAAGGTTTCAGTTCAATATTCCAACCACTTCAAGAAGGCCGGAGCGTACAATGGCCGAAACGTTTTAATAAATATGGCGAAAAAGATGAGGGTAATAGACCGAATAATGTAAATAGTGTATATTATTTTCATATAGGGAGAAAATGAGTGACTACCGACACCGAGGTTCGAGCATGACACTGGACTTATAGAAAATGTTTTCTACCATCTGTATAAATAGCGGTGTCAGGCTACTGACTTGAGTGATTATTGAGTGACTATTGAGTGGAACTATCCAGTCGAATTAGTGTGAATTATTGTGCGTCGATTATTTGGGTTTTGATTTAGGATTTAGCGGACGTTAAGCCTAGCCGCGCTACTAACAAGGTATTCACTGAAATGGTTAATTATCTTTGGTTGACTTTTACTTCTTTGTTCACGTTAGGTATTTATTTGCAGTTGTAATTAAATACTTTTTTATCTTAAGTCTTTTCATATCTATCTAATCTATCTATGATGTACGACCATATCACATTGAAATACTGGTTCCTCTAGGAACACCGAAGTTAAGCAACATTGAGTCTGGTACGTACCTCGGTAGGTGGCGGCTTAGGAATGCCAGGTGCTATAAGTTTGGGTGTGCTAGTGAAGATAATGACTAGGAATTGTTATTTGGGGAACAGCGTTCTAATTCCAGTTGGGTTCGTTATATTCACGTATGCGCAAATACCCTTGGGAAAGCTATGAATCCACATTTTCTCCTCCCAACTATGGGTTAATTAGTAAGACTTCTATCACAATTATCTAAAAAAATTCTTACAATCTAAAAATATTTTATGGATTTGCATGACCCACAAAGGTTTGATAATCCGTACAAAACGAATCTATCAATCAACTAATGCTTCTCTTTACATCCATGAAACAACCTCATTCAGTAACCGTCTACCTTGAGTGACACTTGGGCATTGTGCTCAGGCAAAAACAGTGTCAAAATACCTATACATTCACAAATATATATCAGGTTGAGTCACAATTTATTTTGTTGCTTAATTTCATTCTTTCAAAATAAAATACCATTACCCCCTTGTGCACATTAATTGAAACAACCGCTTAATTTCTTTTCTTTCACCATACGGTCAGTTTTAGACCCACTGGAGTGAAAGGCTGCAATCGATTTCTATCTTTTTCCCTCAGGTTAGGTCATTTGCAGTGGTGTGCAGTAATCTAAATCTCTTTTCGAGGTGTATGATGAAATTTGATTGGCCTTGAAAAATATTGCGTGATCCGTGATTGCATCAGATTTTTATCACGCCCTGACACTATTGTCCCGACTGTCGATTAGTTGTCCTACGATTAGTTGGGATTGACGTTACTTCAAGGAAGCGTGCAAAAATTTGTACCGCTACACGAGCACAATGGCCAGCCTTAACAGTGAGCAAATCAAAGTACTATTGATTGGCCCGGAAACTCTGATGATTTAAATCCAATCGAGAATTTGTGGTCGCTCTGCAACGAACGATTTCATGGAATGGACATACGAAGTACTAACATGTTTCTTTGGACAAATACGAAAGAAATGTAAATAATAATGGAATTATTCGATTTGTTTCAATTAATTTGCACTAGGGTGTAGGTGATCACGGCTTTCCACATCTTCCTGCATAATTAATTTGCACAAAGATGTACGTAGAGTTTTCTAAATAACATTTTATTCAAGTATATATTCACCCTTATTTACATTGAGGCAGTTCTTCGAAACCTTTGAGTAAACTTCTAAAAGTTTTGATGTGAAATTTCACATCTCTCTTCCTTTCTATACCTGTCCATATCACTGTCTGTTCATATCTATCTATCTATCTATCTTAGTCTGTTCCTTATCTAAGTCTATATGGCTGTATTTCATTTTATTAATATCTATCTATCTATCTATCTATCTCTGACTATTCAGTATCTATCTATCTATCTATCTGTCTGTCTATCTATCTATCTATCTATCTATCTATCTATCTATCTATCTATCTAAGTCTGTTCCTTATCTAAGACTATATGGCTGTATTTCATTTTATTAATATCTATCTATCTATCTATCTATCTATCTCTGACTATTCAGTATCTATCTATCTATCTATCTATCTGTCTGTCTATCTATCTATCTATCTATCTATCTATCTATCTAAGTCTGTTCCTTATCTAAGACTATATGGCTGTATTTCATTTTATTAATATCTATCTATCTATCTATCTATCTATCTATCTATCTCTGACTATTCAGTATCTATCTATCTATCTATCTATCTGTCTGTCTATCTATCTATCTATCTATCTATCTATCTATCTGTCTGTTCCTTATCTAAGACTATATGGCTGTATTTCATTTTATTAATATCTATCTATCTATCTATCTATCTATCTATCTATCTATCTATCTCTGACTATTCAGTATCTATCTATCTATCTATCTATCTATCTATCTATCTATCTATCTATCTATCTATCTATCTAAGTCTGTTCCTTATCTAAGTCTATATGGTTGTATTTTTTATTTTATTAATATCTATCTATCTATCTATCTATCTATCTATCTCTGACTATTCAGTATCTATCTATCTATCTATCTATCTATCTATCTATCTGTCTATCTATCTATCTATCTATCTATCTATCTATCTATCTAAGTCTGTTCCTTATCTAAGTCTATATGGCTGTATTTCATTTTATTAATATCTATCTATCTATCTATCTATCTATCTATCTATCTATCTATCTTCGTCTTTATTGATGGGTCCAACAAGGTGTCGATTTACTAGTGCAGTGATGCCGTTGTATGAACACGAGACTATTTGTCTCATACGTAAAATGACTGTTTATTCCAGTAACGAGTGGGTGTGTGATTGCGTGTTTTTTTTTCCGAACGTGGATTTGCTTCTCGCAAGGACGTGGGAGACTCTTTATCTGTTATCCTCTCTGGCGGACCGCTTATATATTCCATTCATTTTGTTGCTTTACGTAAGTACAGCTAGACTGTCTGTCTGTTTACAAGGGGAAGCCAGCCACTGACGACCTGTGGGGAACGAATTTGCAGTTTGTCATCAGGAAGTCCTCTTTCAAGTCAACCCACTGATGCGCATGACTGCTCCAAAGCAGTGATGTGACACTGTGTGCAAATGCTGTTTTGATAATTTGGTGAGCCCATTATATATTGGGGTCACCACATATCAACTTCTCTTAGTACAAAGCTTATAAATAAACAAATCTACTATTATGCGAAATTGGGTATATGGCTGTTATAGTGTATGTCTCGCATGTACGTGTACCTAGTCAGGCAAAAGGCCTTAAACAGAGTGTGAGGTAAGGGTTAAAATACTCTTAATATTTAGTAAGCCTCAATTAGAGCAAAACAGATAAATAGTTGAATTTAAATTGAAAAGGTCAGTTTTCATTGACTGGTTCGCTGCCTAAGTGCTTGGGTCTGTGTATCAGACAGAGACGCAAACACATAGACAGAAAACCAATCAATGTTAATTGACCTTTTCAATTTAAATTCAATATATATATATATATATATATATATATATATATATGCTACAGGCAAAAATTTTGAGTGAACCTTGCATTTCATTTAAATCACCTTCAAATGAGATATTTTGTATTTAAAAAAAAAAAAGTGAACGCATAGGCTATTTTGCTGCTCACTACACACACATATATATATATATATATATATATATATATATATATATATATATTAGGTTGGTGCAAAAATAATGACGTAATAATGTCGTTTTTGGACGTATTTTTAACGTCAAAAAGGACATCATCACGTCATTATTTTTTGCACTAACCTAATATATATATATATATATATATATATATATATATATATATATATATATATATATATATATATATATATATATAGTTTTAAGGCAGGTATATTTATAGCTTATGTGCTCAATATCAGGGATATAGCGTATGTAGATATAAAAGTAAACTTTGAAGTCAACATCCAGAGGTGACAGTCTGTTCCATGCTTAGACTAATCGTCAGGCACATCCTGACATCAAGTGTTATTAGCAGTGGTGCCCTTGTGTACATGATGGCAGAAAACACATAAGTGTAGGCAGGACTTGAACAACGAGGATTCTGTGGTCTCTAACTGTTGTCTTCAAAGAATGCACCTGAATCTTTTAATAATTAATGATGAATAAATAATTTTAACTTGTGTTTTTACAGTTGATAGCGGAAAAGACTTTGAATTGTCTTAGTAATCAGTGAATATAAATAAAACACTTCTAAATCTGTGTGTTATTATTTTTATCACCTGACTTCATAATAATTAAAAAAAATTATTTACCTGCAAAGAAGTTTATTTTACCGAGAGTGGTAAAATAAGCTTAAGAAGCATGTTTGTCTATTTTACCTGGACTGACAAAATATCCCCTCCCCCGCCTCCTAAAATAAAAGATTAAATTTCACTAATTAATGTGTATTTGCTTTTAATTTTCATATCTTTCTTTGGGCCCCTTTTACTACCAAAATTTTCAAATTTGGATTAGTTTGTCCACAATACATTTCGGTAACTTTTGAATATGTTATATGAGAAACATTATATTTTGTTTTTACCATTAACCTCTCAGTAGACTTTTTAAGATTACCAAAAAGGGCTGGAGATTGGATTCAGGTTAAGCGGTGGTATACATCTGAGAATTTAGATATTCTTGAATGGAATTGGCACCATGCATAACAACCTTACGAAAGCCTCGATTTCATCAAGCGATTTAAGAACATGACAGGGAATTTCTGGTGAAAGTTTTGGTTTTCTAACCTTTTGCTGTGTTGAGAGAAACTTTATCTGACGAAGCCTATTTTATATTTAATTGCCTTTTACTAATACGAAATTTATTATAACCGATCTATACGCCGAGGTTTTTGACGTGTTTAGCATTTACTAATTTCCGACTTTGAATTATTATGTTTCTTTGCTAATCTTAAAATTTAAAGTGCTGTGAAATGTCACCATCTTGAGTATGTCATTATTTTCTCTTTGAATCATTTTTGTTGTTGCTGTTGTTGGTAGTCCTCGAGTGATGCAGTTTCTATTATTTGGTACCGTTCTTTGTTTTTGATTGTATAGCGTCATTCCACAAATTTCAAAGAACGATGGTCTTCACCAAAACCTTCAGGTTTCACTCGCTCAAGGCCTTTTCTTTTTCACCATAGGTCTTAAGAACCGGTTGTATACATCTGAGAATTTAGATATTCCTGAATGGAATTGGCTCCATGCATGACATCCTTACGAAAGTCTCGATTTGATGAAGCGATTTAAGAATATGACACGAGCTTTCTGGTTAAAGATTTCGTTTTGTAGCAGTTCTTGGTGTTGGGCGAAACTTCATCTGATGAAGCCTATTCTATGTTTAATTTCCTTTTTTTTTCCGATACTAAATTTCTTATAACTGATCCATATGCCGAGGTATTTGAAATGTTTAGCATTTACTAATTCTACCTTGTGAAGTTTT